ATCCTACAAGTTAGCAATAGAAAACATCTGTCTGTAAATATCGTTTTCATTAACTTATACTCTTGTTTGTATCATGACTTGGAGAGCTTCCTCCATTTAGGGGGAAACCAGTTTACCAAGAACACGAGATTTCTCTTTGCACCGTATGTCACTAGTCAGCTATGTTGAGCTGAGCAGCCGGCTTAATTAGTGCGATATTGTCATATTTTAATATTATTTCAAGGTATGACATAATGGAGATATAACAGGTGTGAGAAACACCAACATTAACCCTGCATCCCCATGTAACTTTAATAAACTCTACCATGCATTGATCTGGATGTGTCCATTATGGTCTATAGTGGTGAAAGGGATAATGTCTACTGTTAGTGACCCGGTTAAGCTTTCTGATGAAGTTCAATCTTTTATCATCATTAACAGTAACTGTTGGTGTTCATCCGGGATTCCATCCACATACAATAGTATTAATCATTATAAATGGATATTTTGTGATTGATTGTATTTTTACTGATACGAAATTGGAAATACCAATATCCTATGATACTAAGAACAATTTGTAATTATTTTTTTTTCGTTTGAGAATGTTAAAATTCAATTACAAAATGTTAAAATTTAGTAATACAAGTGATGTCACAAACACCATGTATTGTCTTAATTTGTATTGAGCTGTTATTTACAGCCATAACAATTTATATTTTCAAACTGTGAAATCAACCTTAAATACTTTTGGGGGATTTTTGTTTTGGTAAAAAGAGGAGACAAAATTTAGATTTAATACTCGGAAAATAATTTTTGTATAGTACACACTTCAGAGGTTCCATGATAAGATCTCTTCATTGAGCTCAGGTATCGAAAGATCATCACGTGCATGTACATTAATTAATTTCCGTAACATTGTCAACATTATAATAGGAAAATAACCTGTATACATGAACATCTGTAGTTCGGCTTTATTCAGGCCTTTCAGTGTACCCTAATTGAGATTATGTTTTTTGACTCCCTATAAGAAGCTTTGACTCTTGGATATGAAAAGACACGTCTATTTTACCCTCCAAATTTCAGGTTAAAGTTATTTGGCCTCCGAAATCACTAAATATCATGGATCAACTGAAAGCCCAGTTATTTAACATATTTTGGTAAATATCAGTTTCATTCCAATCTGTTTGAACATATTATTGTTTCAATAAAAGCAATAACTTTCCACCAAGAGATAATTTAACCCTGCTGATCGAACTGCATTTCAGATGGTTCAAGCACAAAGTTTGAGTACTGTAGCTGGCTCGATTGTACACATGATTATTGTTGCCTTTTAGCTTTGCATAAGAGGGTTTCGGAAAGTTTTGAGGTGCTGACAACAAAAATGGACTATAGGGCCAGAGGAAACTTGGGCTACCTGCAATTTTTATGGTCAGTTTTAGCGGACTACAACTGCCCAACCTGTTTAAGTATACGGGCTACGGCTTCACACTTCAGAGGTTCCATGATAAAATATCTTCATCAAGATCAGGTTTCGAAATATCATCATTTAGTGTGAATATGCTGTATATTTCTAGCTATATGCATGTGTACGAACTATGTGCCTCCAGTACACCACTTGTTAAAAAATGTAAAGCGGGGGGGGGGGGACTTTCGCCGCGAACTCAATCACAACTAATTATTATAAAATATACTACATTACAAACCTCTGCGTCAGTAATTATCTTATAACCGAGTAGAACCTCGTCATAAGTGCCGACTATAACTTCCATTATACGCTTCTAAGGTTTACGACGTCCCAAACAGGGAGCTGACTAGCGGGTCCACGTGCTCTCTCTCTCTCTCCTCGCCTTCTCGGGTTGTGTAAGACGTCATAGGTTATTGCGTTCATGTACATGGAGGGTGTGGACAAAACCCGGAATACACTCAGGCATGAGAATATTTTAGGAGTTGTTTTTTTTTGCATTCATAGGCCACATCTCCCTTAAAACATAATGGATTTTTATTCAGAGACCATCAAAGGAAAGATTGTTATACATTCTTTACAATGGCATAAACTATGTTAAACAATACTTGCAATTAGAAGTTAAATTTGCGACCGGAGTGCATGTACATGATATATTGCTTCATCAAAAGTGATGATTACCCAACGGCGTGAACTGCCAACAGTCAATAATTAAAACAGAAAAAATACACAGATTAGAACAGGGACGTATAGTGAAGTTAGAACTAGAAGATGAAAAAGTATAAACCGACTAGCATAATAATTGCTGTGAGATAAAAAATAAATAAAAAAGAGGTATCTGTTTACATGCGGTCACCGTAATGAGTGTCCAGCAAGGTTTTCGCGCGCCAATCAATTCGTTAAATGACTTTTTGTATTTTCCCCCCTGATTTATACAGTAAAAGCCATCACCTAACTATTTGCAAAAATTCAGTTTGATCGCACAAGAAAAAAGCATTGATATTTAAGTAGACTTCTATTAATTTACATATTTTTGTATCAGTATGGATCAAAAAAGAAAGCTAACAACTACCGTCCAATTAGCTTAACACCCATAGCAAGCAAGATCATGCAACAGATAATAAGGGATGCACTCCTTGAACATATGGAGGGAAGCAACTTTTTTTCTAAATGCCAACATGGATTCAGAAAAGGAAGATCTTGTACCACTCAATTACTATAATGTTTGGAGGACTGGACACAGGCCTTAGACAATGGAGATTCAACTGACATCATCTACTTAGACTACTGCAAGGCCTTCGACAAGGTTTCCCATATGAGACTTTTACACAAACTCCAATCATATGGTGTTGGAGATGCAGTACCTAATTGGATACAAGGATTTCTCCATAACTTAAAAAAACAAGTCGTCATAAATGGATTTATATCATCACAAACACGGGTCACCAGCGGGGTCCCACAGGGGAGTGTAATTGGACCTATTCTGTTTCTGATCTTCATCAATGACTTTCCAAACAACATCAGTAGCTCAACCAAACTATGTGCAGACGACTCCAAAATATACCGGAAAGTTGTAAGTGACTCGGATCGTGATAGCCTACAGAAGGATCTGGACTCTGTATGCATTTGGACTAACACTCGGCTCATGAAACTGAACATCGACAAATGTAAACACCTTAGGATTGGAAAATTTCAAGATGAACAAGAAAAACCCTATAAAATCGAACAAGACCAGTCGACTACAAATATTAAGACTGTCACAAATGAAAAAGACCTCGGAGTAATTTTTGATAACAAACTGAAATTCAACGAACACATATCAAAAGCAATATCAAAGGCCAACAGGAACTTGGGACCAATATTTAGAACATTTACGTTCATCGACCAAAACATGTTTAGAACACTCTACAAATCCTTGGTAAAACCACATTTGGAATATTCAACGGTCACATGGTCACCGCACTTGAAAAGAGACAAAATGTTCAACGTCGGGCAACCAGATTAGTGCCATGTCTCAAAGACCTGAGCTACCCCGAAAGACTGCTTAAGTGGGGGCTTCCAACGCTAGAATTCAGACGTATCAGAGCGGATGTGATCGAATTATTCAAAATTATGAAGGAAATTGACATTGTAGATCAGGACAAAATGTTTATATAAGAACGCGCCCTGTTGGAACACGAGGAAATAGCAGAAAGCTGTTCAAGAGAAGAACAAATAAGGCCATATCGGGTTTTTATGGGATTTGCCAGAGGCCACTTGTAATTATATCAACAATAATTACATCCAGACAACCAGTTATTGTTTAAATGAACTATATGAACTATATGAAGTGGATGAATGAGTGTCCAGCAAGGTTTTCACACGCCCAGCAATTCGTTAAGTTTCTTTTTGAATTTTTTTTTCTGGTTCATATGATTTAAGACGTCACCTAGCTGTATTTAAAATTTTAGTTCGACCGCACGTGTCAAAAATATTGAAATTCACTTATAAAATTACAGAGATTTTCTTTTGGCAATGATGTCAGGGGAAGTAACTCGTGAAGACTTGTCTTTACAAGTCTCAGCCATTACGCTAAAATAATGTACTTGGCTATGTATATGACAAGGCCTGCTCATCAGAGCCCAATTTGTTATAATAAATTTATTTAATTATGACCTGTTTAACTGTATGAAATATTTACGTTATTATGAAAAAAAAATGGTCAGAAAAAAAATCTTTATTTTTATTCATAATAGCAATAATATGGAATTAAATTAGATCCAAGTCCGTGTGCCTGGTAATATCAGCTTTATTTATTTGGTATATTTTTGAATTTATATAAAAAAAAAATCAAACTCCTAGCATTGTTAAATTTTATCATAATATAAAAACGTTTGTTAACGTTTTGAGTAAATAGTATATTTTCTCAGAATACGATGTAACAAATATACTGATGCAAATCCCGTACGTCTTCCCGCCGCAATTCTGTCTAAGTAGGGTTTATTTTTATCTGAAGTATATTAATACATTTTCAATGACTTCCTTTTTGATATTATTCAACGTTATTTACATCATTATTGAAATAAAAATGTAGTGACTGTAATTAAAGTAAATTGTATACGTCAAACTTTGGTATTCTATACAATATCATAAATATATTCGTTATCAAAATTTAGTTTTCTAATTGCATTTACAGTAGCAAAACTTGTATAAGAATGTTTGTTTAGATATTGGTTTTATATATTGTGGATATAATAACTATTAATACACTTGTGAGCATATTGTTCAAACGTCATTTAGGAATTGTAGTGTATATATAATCTAAAATACAATGTATAAAAATATATGCCTAACATAGATTCTATATAAATGTTAAGTTATCGATCAACGGCACAAACAATGTGTCCCAAACATCAAACGAATTGCAACAGAAATTACTTTTTTTTTTATTTTATTTTTTTTTATCTTTTTTAAGAATATAACATAAAAGGTAGATATTTCACATTTGTCAAATAAGTGACTTTTATGGAAGATTGGGGCGTTGTATTTTTTGGGACGAAATAGTTGGGGTGTAATGGTTTTTGGAGCGATATGAATCGAATATGGGGCGTAACAGCATGGAGCGTTACGGTTTTGGGGTGTAATCTTACATGCATAGTGGTTATTCCGGCCACCACATTTACAAAGAATTCTTATGTGTATTGATGAAATTTGCATCAGTCTAAAGACTATAATTCAGTAATGAACGAGTTACCTATGGGTCAAGACAGAGACGTATAACATGACTACCTATATGGGTAAGGGTACCCAAAATCGAACACTTTTTAAAGAACAATATTAAATTTCCTATAAAGTTTCTGAAAGATCATTTTTTTTACTGTAATGAAACAATGCATGTCTTTAGCCTCCATCTTATGTATTTCTTGGGTATCAACAGCACGTGTATCTATCTATAGAGCTATTTTTTTCAGCTGGTCGAGTACCCAAAATGGAACACTTCATCATACAAGTCAGTTTATGAAAATGACAGACAGCATTTAAATAATATGTTTCATTTTTAAAAAGTTTTGACAATTTCTGACAAATTTTACTCGTTTATTCTCTAAAATATTCGATTGGACATGTAGTTTTCCATGTTTAGAAATATGATCGAATTTTTCATTTAATTTTTTAATATTTCAGTTGAGGTTATGAACATTATGTGTAAGAGGTAGGCAGATGATATTTGTTCAAAATGCATAAAACTATTTAAATTTTGATTGAAAATACATGTCATTAATTTTTATTGCAAAATAGAATTCGCTGCGTCATATATATAATTGTTCCATTTTGGGTTACCCTCACCCTATATGGCTCAGGTCAAAAAAGACAATTTGAAGTTTTTCTTCATTTTTCAATTGACTCGGTTCATTCCTGCCACTAATTTTGCGATTCGTTTGTAAGGTGTGATCAAAGAGTTGATAAGTTGTATAGAGTACGAAATTCCCTTACCTAGAGTGGCCTCTAAACAACAATCGGTTCAGTATCAATCGAGATATATGTGTACTTATTTGAACGAAAACAGTGGAAAATATTGTCATATTTATTTCAAAGGTGTTTATTCCGGTCAATTTTTTTATTTCTAATTTCAAATATTGCTTAATATAGTTTATATTATTGTAAAGGGTATATAATAATCTTTCTAATTCTGGTCTCTGAATAAATATCCATAATGTATTAGGGGAGTTATGGTTATAATTATAAAAAAAAATCCTCCAAAATTACTTCGCGCCTGAGTGTATTCCGGTGTTTGTACTAACCCTTTATTGGAACTCTTTAATACATCAATCCTCATCAGTCAGTTCACAATATTGCAGACCTACCACGTTTTCTGATGATAGAGACCACCACCAGAGCCCACAGGACATTACAATTGCAACATGTCAGGAGCATCGTCATCTTTGTGGATGGGAGATGTTAGTATGGTGAAACAATTTGCATAAAGAGTTAACTTTTAAAAGTGTATCACTGTTAAACCGAAACATTTGTCTGGACGCATAGACGACAGGTGGTCTAGGCTTAGGTCTACTTAACTTAGCTGCAATAACGTATACGTAGCTTTTGATGTTGATACAGTTTCTATATATGTCTATTGCATCGTCAGAGCTACGAATCGGTCATTACCAACTAACGGGTACTGGAGCACCGGTTATCAGATTTGACTAATGTAAACAAACAATGTCCTCGTGTACATTAAACATTTGGTGGATAGATTACTTTTTTTCTTCTATCTAAAATCTCAAATTCCGATGACTTTGTTGATTTTGTAGCAGAACCGGACTTGTCCGATCGTCGGCGACCCGACAGCTCAATATTGGTATATATTATTAGTAGATAGCGTGCGTCTAGAGTTCTGAGAGTTCCGGGTTCGAATCCCAGTCTGGCTGTGCATTTATCTTCTCCTGTCATAATGTTCATAGTTGCAATTTTTGGTACTAGCATCTTTTATCCTCTGTATCTTATGGTTAGAAAGGAAATCCGAAATCTAACAATTTCTGCCAAAACACAAAAAAAATATTTCACTCACTCTCATCACATGAACAACAATCATTGCATGTTATAGCATTCTTACTCGGAAGTATCTATGAAAGCACAACTGAGACGCGAATCTGCATCTACAGGATGCTTATGTTCGGGAAGACATTGACTCATATTGGATAGACATGCGCTACACTTTTATATACTAATAAGGGACACATGTCAACAGGGGAAAATGCAACAATTGAAATTCATCAAATCAATTAAAATTGTGTAATCATGCAATAATCTTTTATTTCACCAACTCTCCTGTTTGGTCAACAATTTGATCGATGTGCACAAGATAAATATAACCAGTAATGTGTTGTTCGTTACAATTGTCCTATATATATACAAATAGTCATATATATGGCAAGATTTAATTTGCTGGTGCTCCAGTACCTGACTTTAAATTGAGCTAAATTGAAAGTGTCAAATCTGTAACATTACTGCTCGCACTGTTTTTCCGGTCATTAGATAGCTGCAGCTAGTGAGACGGTCCTTTTGTTGTTTCATCCTTTATACTTAAGGTGTGCACATATTTATATTATTTAAAAAAATTGTATATCATTGTCTTATTTACATTTATACATTTTGTACACATTTGTTTGTGACTTTAAACAACTTCTTCTCCATAACCAAGAGGCCTAGGATGATGGCATTTGGCCAGTAGCATGCTGGGATGAAGGACTACCAAATTTCTTCAAATCAATTACCTTACCATATATTCAAGGTCACAGGGGTCAATTATCTTAAAAATAACTTTAAAACAACTTCTTCTGAATAACCAGAAGGCCCATGATGATTGTATTTGGCCAGTAAGATGCTTGGATGAAGGACTACCAAGTTTGTTAAAATGAATGACCTTGACCTATATTCAAGGTCTCAGGCGTCAAATATATTTATAATCTTTTAAACGACTTCTCCTGAATAACCAAAAGTCCTATAATGTTGGTATTTAGCCAGTAGCATGCTTTGATGAAGAGTTTCAAAGTCTTCAAAATGAATAACCTTGACCTATAGTTTAAGGTCACAGGGGCCCAATATGTTTTTAACCTTTCTTCTAAATAACAAAATGCCAAAAATGTTGATGTTTGGCCAGTAACATGCTTGGATGAAGGGCTAGTTATGTTTTTTTTCATTTGAATCGCATTGACCCACTTTCAAGGTCACATTTGCTCATATGTGTATACACCTTTAAATGACCTAGTCTCAATATACAAAAGGTCTAGGACTTGGAGAAATGTAATAAAATTTGAAAAGTGTGTGACTGTGATCCCTGTATGAAAAGTCATAACACTGAAACGTTTAGCAAAACTAGAAACATTTTATCAATATAATTGATACATATTGCATCCAGAATGTTTTCTGTGTTCCATGCATTTACAACTTACAAATGTACTGTGAAGCTCAGTAAATAGTAAATTACTTTAAACTCAGTTTTAACGGAAATCTTTCCCCTGAAGCGGCTCAAATGGTGGCCAAAAATGTGTGTCAGTGATCTCTGCCTGTGAGTAGACTAGTACCCCTGATACATGTTTAAAATACTTTTCTTTTTTGATTTCTTCCTTCAGCTGGAGCCTTATATGGATGACTATTTCATAACTTCTGCATTTGAACAAATGGGATCTACGATCAAGTCTATGAAATTAATCAAAAATAAGGTTACAGGGTAAGTTTTGGAGACTTTTCTGGTGTTATTTTTAACAGGAAAATGAAAGTCATGGCAAAATCTGCAAAGGGAAAACTAAAGACTATTGATCAGTATACACACAGTGCACAAGGAAGACATTTTGTAGATACTAATTACAATTTTTTAATACATTTGTAGCAGAACATATATTAATATACTATAATACTGAATTGTACCATCCTCAAGTTTATAGGTGTTACACTCACTTATGTTCTCTGCACCACTGGTATATGTCATGACAAGATCAAGACACAAGGTTGGCTATTTGGTATTAATTATGGAAAAAAAATTGACCCATTTCTTGACTGACCTGTCCTTTGAAGATAACAGAGGGCGATCGCCACATCCAACATCAAAGACAATTAAGTTACCACACTAATTGTTTTTGATGGACATCATATTAAAGATCAATCTGGATCTAGATCTACTTCATCTGTAAGGTGTTGTATGTAAGGCCTTTGTGTTTTGTCATAACATTATACAGGGGATAGGAGACACAATGTTTATTTCCAAAGAATACTTTTGCTTTGAAATTCTTTTAATGTTCATTTTCATTGCTCTATTGTTGTTTTTTCTAACAATTTGTAAGTTGTGCATATATATATAGTTAGCTAAATCAAATAACAAAAAGAATCCGGGTAATTTCGATTCCATCTAATTTTCATTGATATTGATATGGCCTGTTTTATACAAGAACATTTTATTTATTTACTTGAAATCCTCTATTTTTGAATACATTTTCTTTCCAGTCTTCCAGCCGGCTACTGTTTCATCGACTTCCATGATGAAGAGAAGGCACATGATGCAATGTTGAAGCTGAATGGGAAAATAATCCCCAACAGTAACCCTGTGTGTACCACTACATCACTATAGTAACCCTGTGTGTACCACTACATACCTATAGTAACCCTGTGTGTACCACTACATACCTATAGTAACCC